AGCCGAGGGAAGCAGCAGCAGCACCAGCAGCAGCAACCTGCTGCTGCTGCTGCAGCAATATCTCCATCATATAAACAGCCACCTGATGACGATACACCTGTGCTGCAGCTGCTTCCTCCTGCTGCTGCTGCTGCTGCTGCTGCAGGATCGTGGTTATGGTGGCTGCTGCTGCTGCTGCTGTCGCAGGGGGTACTGTCCTGCTGCTTCCAGCTGCTAAAGAACCCTGTCTGTGGGGGCCCCCCTGGGGGGCCCCCACTAAGAGGAGACTCTGCTGCTGCTGCACCCTGCTGCTGCTGCTGCTGCTGCTCGTCACTTGCTGCCATTTCTGCACGAATGGATCGGGCGATCCCCAAGGAGACAGACATTGCATGCTCCCTAAGGGACTCTATACTGCCTCCATTTGCTGCTAGCTGCTGCTGCTGCTGCTGCACAGCAGCAGCAGCAGCAGGAGCTGCAGCAGCAACTGCTGCTGCTGGCGTTGAAGTTGAAACGAAGCCACAAGGTCTAGAGGGCTGCTGCTGACGGTTAGCAGCAGCAGCTGCTGCTGCTGCTGCTGAGGAGACAGCAAGTGTCTCCTCAGGGATGAGGGGGTCTGCCGTTAAGATCATGTCTGCTACCCTGCTGCTGCTGCTGCTGCTGCTGCCGCTGCTGCTGCTGCTGCTGCTGCTGCTGTGCAGCTCAGGCGAAGACTTTTGTGTTTAATATTTACCATAAAAAGAGGAAAAAATGAATACAAGGGGAGAGGGTATGGGGGGCCCTTGAGCTGGCTTGCTGCTGCAGCAGCTGCAGCAGCAGCAGCAGCAGCAGTAGGGGGCCCCCCGAGATGCTATAGGGGAGTGAGGGAAGGAAGATCTGCTGCATGCAGCAAAGGCGATAAAAATAAAATTAAAATAGTTGCTGTTTGCTGTTGCTGCTGTTGCTGCTGCTGCAGCTTTACCCTCTCTTGCTGCTGCTGCTGCTGTAGCAGCAGCAACAGCAGCCGGGGGGGCCCGACCCGCAGCAACACCCACCTAGTAACACACTAGCATATCTCTAAGAGGTATATGCATTTTTGCTGCTGTTGCTGCTGTTGCTGCAGTTGTTGCTGCCCTTGCTGCTGCTGCTGCTGTTATTTTCTTTTTTTTTCTTTTTCTTCTTTATTATATATGTCATCTTCCTCCCCCCCCGCTGCAGCAGCAGCAGCAGCAGCAGCAGCAGCTCTAGTTGCTGCTACTGCTGCTGCTAATAGTCTATTGTCTTTAACTATAATAATAAAAAATAATAAAAAATTAGGGTTTAGGGTTTAGGGTTTAGGGTTTAGGGTTTAGGGTTTAGGGTTTAGGGTTTGCGATGTCGCGTATAAATGGTCCAAAGATAATTTTATTTTTTCCTTTTTCTTCTTTTTCTCCTTTTTTATTCTCTTTGCTGCAGCAAAAGTTTAATCCTTCTTCTTCTTCTTCTCCTGCTGCTGCTGCTGCTGCTGCTGCTCTTATTGTTACACCACAAATACTTGCATGCAGGATTAGGCAACTTACAGCAGCACAGCAACAACAACAACAGCAGCAGGAGCAGCAGCAGCAAGAGCAAGAGCAGCAACAGGAGCAAGAGAAGCAGGTAGATAAGCAGCAACAGCAGCAAGATAAGAAAAAGAAGCAGCAGCAGCAGCAGCAGCAGCAGCAGCAAGGAGTTGATCCCTTAGAGGATATAGATTTGCTGCAGCAAGTAGCAGCACTGCAGCAAACATTTCCTTCTCTTCTTGTTGTTGCTGCTGTGTCTCCTTTTGTGTCTCTTTTTGATTTAACTGCTAGCAGCAGACAGCTCCTGCCTTCTGCTGCTGCTGCTGCTGCTGCTGCTGCTGATACACCCCCGCCGCTGCTGCCAGCAGCAGCAGCAGCAACAAGGGGACCCTCAAGGTTATTTCTTATTCCTCTCTTAAAGATAGAAGAAGGAACTGATCTTATTAATATAGGCAGCAAATATCTGCATGCAGCAGCAGCAGCAGCAGCAGCAGCTGCTGCTGCTGCTTCTGCTCCAGATGCAGCAGCAGCAATAGCAGCAACAAGAACAGCAGCAGCAGCAGCAGCAAGAGCTACAGAAATAACAACAGCACCCAGAGGTACACAACTAGCACCTACAACACCAGCAGCAACAGCAGCAGCAGCAGTAGCAGCATCAGCATGTGCTGCTGCTGCAGCAGCAGCAACAGCTGCTGCTGCTGCATGCATGCGGGGCCCCTTTAAGGAGGTAGCTATAAGTCTTGGGGCCCTCCGGCTGCAGCAGCCAGCAGCAAAAATTTTATTAATTTTTTTAGGGTGTAGAGCAGCACTAACGACTCCACAGCCTGCTGCTGCTGCTGCTGCTGCTGTTGCTGCTGCTGCTGCAGCAGCAGCAGCAGCAGCAGCAGCACCTGTTGCTCCTGTTCCTGCTGCTGTTGAGGATGCTGCTGCTGATGATGATGATGCTGAGGAAGAGGCAGATGTAACAATAGCAGCAAATGGCACAGCAGCAGCAGCAGCAACTGCAGCAACAGCAGCAGCAGCAGCAGCAGAACAGTTGACACCGCAAGAAGACATGTTTGTAGAGGTATATACGCAAGAGACACTTCCTGCTGCTGCTGTTGCTGCTGCTGCTGCTGCTGCTGCAGACGAGGATGCTGTTGCTGCTGCTCCTGCATCAACTGCAGCAAGAAGCAGCAAACGCAGCAAACCCTCCACTAACGGCAACCTTAGCGACAGCAGCAGCAGCAGCAGCAACAGCAGCAGCCGGAGCAGCAGCAAGAACAAGAACATCAGCAGCAGCAGCAGCAGGAGCAGCAGGAAGAAGACACGTCCTTGTGATTTGCTGCCAGCAATGGATATATTAGTTAGCGATTTGCTGCTGCTGTGGGGTGTACAGACAGCTCATGAGGCAGAAGAGGAAGCAGCAGCAGCATTAATTATAAGAATTGTTGCTGCTGCAGCAACTGCAGCAGCAGCAGCAGCAGCTAATAATCATAATGCAGCAGCAGCAACAGGTAAGTTGCTGCCTAGAGGAAAATTGCGGCGTCTTCTTGTCTCTGCTAATGAGCAGGCAGAAGCACAATCTGCTGCTGCTGCTGCTGCTGCTGCTGCACCTGGTGCTGCTGCTGCTGCTGGTGCTGCAGGAGAAGGGGAGACACTAATGCCTGTGGGGTGTACAGGCAGGTCTGCTGCAGTGCAGCGCTGCTGGCAGCAGCAGCTGCTGCAGCTACCAGGTGTAACAGAGGAAGTTGCATGCGCTGTTGCTGCTGCTTACCCAACACCTGCTGCTCTATTTGCCCGTGCTGAGGCAGCAGCAGCAGCAGCAGCAGCAGCAGCAGGAGGTGGCGCTGCTGCTACTGCTGCTGCTGCTGGGGCTGAGGGGTCACTGTTAAAGGAAATAGCAGCAATTAGTGTGGGTCCCTGCAGCAGCAGCAGCAGCAGCAGCAGCAGCAGCAGCAGCAGCAGCAGCAGCAACAGCAACAAACGCCGTGTTGGTGTTGCAGCAGCAAAGAAGATCCTAAGTGTATTTGGGGTGTATGGACACCCAGAGGATATTATTAATTAATTAATTAATTTATTTATTTATTTGTTTATTTATTTATTTATTTATTTGTTTATTTATTTATTTATTTATTTATTATAAGGAGACAATAGTATTGTCTCTTTATTAGGTGTCTCCTTTCTTTATTATTAACAATAAAAAAAACAATTCTTTTTTATTTATTTATTTATTTATTTATTTATTTATTTATTTATTTATTTATTTATTTATTTATTTATTTATAGTTATTATATATAAGTATATACATATACATATTACGTTAGTTAATAAATATAATACGTATATATACAGTTACGTATATATACAATAAATATATATATTATATATATAAATATATATATTATATATATATTTATTTATTTATATATATAAATTATTTATGTACTACATATACTAAGGGCATACACATACTGCAGAGTTATTAGCAGCAACTACTTAAATGCAGCAGCAGCAGCAGCAGCAGCAGCAGCAGCAGCAGCAGCAGCAAGAGCAGCAGAGGTACATCTAGTACAGAGGCAGCACACAGCAGCATCGCAACATTAAACAAATACCTTCCCTTTATATTTAATTATCTAACACCATTAGCAGCAGCAGCAGCTGCTGCTGCTGCTGCTGCTGCTGCTGCTGCTGCTGGTGTTGTTGTTGCAGCAACTGTGGCTGTGAGGGCTGCTAACAGACGGCGTCCGGTGTCTGCATTGGGGTGTATAGGCAGCTAAGATACATTTTTATGTATATTTTATTTATTTATAAATAATAAATAAATAAATAAATTAATTAATTAATTAAAAAAGAAGAAAAAAGGAGGAAAAGGGGGGCCCCTGGTGTTGCATGCATGCAGCGGACCCTCCAACCCGATGCAGCAGCAGCAGCAGCAGCAGGAGCATATGCAGCAGCAGCAGCAACAGCAGCAGGGAATAGAAGCAGAAGAAGAATATAAACCCATAAATATAATTGGATTTAGGGTTTATGGTTTAGGGTTTAGGGTTTAGGGTAGTCAGGTGTTTCCTTACCCATCCCTTCTGCGTCCTCTCTTAGCGGCCTTGTTGCTGCTGCTGTTCTTGCAGTTGCTGCTGCTGCTGCTGCTGCAACAGCTGCAGCAGCTGGTACCTGTGTCTGCTGCTGCTCCTGCTCCTCTCAGCCTTTGCTGCTGAGTGTTATCTTAGCGCGTTGCCGCGTGGGGCCCCCAAGGGCCCCCTGCTGCAGCAGCACATCCGCAGCAGCAGCAGCAGCAGTAGCAGCAAACTTCCTTATCATCTCTTGCAGCAAAGAGCAGCAGCTAATTCAGCAGCAACAGCAGCAGCAGCTGCAGCACAACCACCGCAACCACCACAACCACCTCAACACCAACCACCACCACCCCCAGCAGCAGCAACAGCAGCAGCAGCAAGATGACAGTGCTGCAGGGGGATTCTGCTGCAGCAGCAGGCCTATTAAAGCCTAATGGTTGGGCAGAGTTGCTGTCGCGTGTGGGGGCCCCCCAGGAGGGGCCCCCCCCATTGCTGCAGCGTATACATGCTGCTGCAGTGTCTGCTCAGGCAGCAGCAGCAGGAGGAGGGAATCTAGGAGGCGGTGAATCTAACAGCACGAACAGCAGCAGCAGCACTACCAACAGCAGCAACAGCAGCAGCAGCAACAGCAGCAGCAGCAAGGATCTATTAGACTCCTTGCTTCCTGCTGCAGCAGCAGCAGCAACCTGTGGGGCCCGTGACAGTCTATCTGTCTCCCTTAATCGTTATATGAGGGAATATAGGAGAATAAAGGCACAAGGTTTATTATCTGATGGATTTTCTCTCCTTGAGGCCCCTGCTGCTGCTGCTGCTGCTGCTGCTGGTACTGCAGCAGCAGCAGCAACAGGTGCTGCTGGTGCTGCTGCTGGTTTGGGGATTTACGGCGTTGGAAGTACTGCTATAGATGCAGCAGGAGGTGCAGCAGCAGCACAGCAGCAACAACAGCAGCAACTGCAGCAGCAGCAGCAGCAAGAAGCATTTATAGGTATGGATAGCAGCAGCAGCGGCATAGATGTTGCTGCCTTTCATTGCATGCGCCGTCTATACACCAGAGCAGCAGCAGAAGCCCTCAGCAGCGCAGCAGCAGCGCAGCAGCAGCTTCTTGCTGCAGTAGAGATGGAGAGAGACCTCTGCTGCTGGGCAGCAACAAAGGCGTCTCTTATGCAGCAGCTAGCGCTACCTGCAACAGCAGCAGCAGCAGCAACACCAACAGCAGCAGCAGCAGCAACAGATAGTCTTTTATACGCAGATGGGGCCCATAAAGGAAGTCTGTGTCTGTTAGGGGGCCCCCAAGGGGGCCCCCAAGGGGCCCCCCAGGGTCCCCTTGAGCCTCACCCTCTGCTGACAGCACAAGAGCTGCAGCTGCTGTATGCATTGCCTGTGCTGCAGCAGCTGCAGCAGCAGGAGGATGGTCGTGGTTTGCTGCTGTTGCTGCAGCAGTTACCTGCCGCGGCGGCGGCAGCAGCAGCAGCAGCAGCATTAGAACAAGAGAGGCCAACAGCAGCAGCAGCAGGAAGTATATGTATACAATCATCAGGTTTAGATAGTTGGAGTGTATGGGCAGCAAATGAGCAGCAGCAGCAGCACTGCAGCAATTTGCTGCAGTTGCTGCTAGGTATATTTAGGTGTATAGACACCTGGAGAAAAAAGGAGACAAAAAAAGGAGACAGTCTCCTTTGTCTCCTTATTAATAACTCTATTGCTGCACTAGAGGAGGATAGACGTGCTGCTGCTGGTGCTCCTAATTTGCTGCTGCAGGCAGCAACAGCAGCAGCAGCAGCTCATGCAACTGCAGCACCAGAGCCTCTCTGCTGCAGTACAGATCTGCTGCTACCCTGGCTGCAGCAAGCAGCAGCAGAGGAGACACTTGCGGTGTCTCCGCAGCTACGTGCATGCAACATATGGTGGTTTGCTGTCTATCTTGCATTCAGGAGCGGAGATATACTCGTACGCTTCCTGCTGCTGCTGCTGCTGCTGCTGCTGCTGTTGCTGCTGCTGGTGGTAGTAGTGGTGCTCATGCTGTCTCGTTGCTCTTGCTGCTGGTCTTGCTGGTGCTGCTGCTGCTGTTCTTGCTGCTGTTGCTGTTGCTCTTACATTTGTTGTTGCTGCTCGTGCTCATCCTGCTGCTGCTGCTGCTGCTGTTGCTGTTGCTGCTGTGTTGTGCTGCAGTGTCTCCTTTCTTTAGGTGCTGGTCCTGCATTACCTCATGGTAGCTGCAGCTTTTCTGCTGCTGCTGCTGCAGCAATAGCAGCAGCAGCAGCGGATCCGTCTTCTGCAGCAATCCATCATCAGCAGCAACAACAACAACAGCAACAACAGCAGCAACAGCAACAGCAGCAGCAGCAATCTGTCTGCATGCGCGAGTACGGAGACTATCCCCCTTTGCTGCCCTTTATATGCAGGCAGCTAGTTGTGCTGCTGCTGCAGACATCTATGTCTGCTGTTCTTCGTAATGCAGCAGATAAAGAGGGACAAACTGCAGCAGATGGTAAGGAATAATACCAGCAGCAGCAGCAGCAGCAACAGCAGCAGCAGCAGCAGCAGCAGCAGCAGTAGCAGTAATAGTAGTATTAGTAGTAGTAGTAACAGGAACAGGAGCTGTATTGACAAAAGCAGAGAAGCAGCAGCAGCAATAACAACAGCTGCAGCAGCAACAGCAGCAGCAGCAGCAGCAGCAGCAGCTGGGGGGAGGGAGAGGAGGGTTATGTATGTGCTGCTGTTTGCTGCTGTTTAACATCATAAGATTTGTGCTGCTGCTGTGATTTGCTGCTGCAGCACTGCATGCATTTGCTGCTGCTATGCCTAGTGCTGCTGCTCTTTCTCCAGCAGCAACAACAGCAAGAGGATGGAGTGATTGCTTCGTGCTGCACCCCCCGCCACAGCAGCAGCAGCAGCAGCAGCAACAGCAGCAGCAGCAGCAGCAGGAAGCAGCAGAGAGGACCGATCCTCATTTGCTGCTGCTGCTGTCTTTGCTGCGCCCTGATCTTTGGCCTCCTCTTAAACTATCAGAGACACTACAGGTATAATTAGGGTTTAGGGTTTAGGGTTTAGGGTTTACTAGGGTTTAGGGTTTAGGGTTTAGGGTTTACTAGGGTTTAGGGTTTATATTAAGGTTTATTTAATTGTCTCCTTTTGTGTCTCCTTTCTGCTGCTGCTGTTGCTGCTGCTGCTGCTGCTGTGGCTGTTGTTGCTGCAGCAAGTGACACAGGAGGACTTCCTGCATTACCGTTTAATGTTGCTATTAGCTCAAGATCGTCAGCAGCAGCAGAAGCAGCAACAGCAGCAGCAGCAGCAGCAGCAGCGTGAGGGTTTGCTGCTTCGTGGTCTCCGTTCCCTCTTAGGTAAGGTAAAGTTACAAGGTCCTCATTTCTTTGACCCCCAGCAGCAGCAAATAGATCTAGCAGCAGCAGCAGCAGCAGCAGCAGCAGGAGGAGGAGGAGGTCATGTACAACACCCTCATCTGCTTCTACTACAGCAGCAGCAGCAGCAGCAGCAGCAGCAGCAAGGATGGACAGACCCGCAGCAGCACCTTGCTGCTGCTCTGCATGTAAATTTTACTTATTTATTTCTTTTGTCTCTTTGTGGAGGAATAATAGATTGTCTCCTTTTTATTATTAATAATTATCCTTTCCTTAGGGTAATTTATTTGCTGCTGCTGCTGCTGCTGCTGCTGCTGCTGCTGCTGCTGCTGTTGCTATTGCTGCTTTTGCTGCTGCTGGTTATGGGGATGGGGGTGGTGCTGTTGTTGTTGCTGCTGTTGTGTTAGAGGTGCTGTATCTGTTGCTACTAGAGTTGCTGCTGTTGCTGCAGTTGCTGCTGCTGCTGCACTTGCTGTTGCTGCACTTACTGTATTTGCTGCTGCTTTATGTGTATATGTATGTGTGTGTGTGCTGCTGCTGCTGCTGCTGCTGCTGCTGCTGCTGCTGTTTGCTGCAGCGTGTGGCGATGTGTTTGCTGCTGCTAGCCTTTAAGTTTGGTTGCTTTGAGTCTGCTGCGCTGCTGCATCTATCTGCTGAATCTTTGCATGCAGCAGCAGCAGCAGCAGCAGCAGACACAGCATGCGGTGTATTAGGTAGAATAGGAGGAGGAGCAGCAGGAGGTTTTGCTGCAGGAGGTTTTGAAGCTGCTGCTGCTGCTGCAGCAGCAGCAGCAGCAACAGGATCGTCATCATCATCAACAACAGCAGCAGCAGCAGCAGCTGCTGCTGCTGCTGCTGCAGCAGAAGGTGGTGGGGGCCCCTGGTCTGATGAATCCTGGGCCCTTTTATGGCAAGAAAGGGGGGCCCCCTCTTATGTGTCTCTTTATGATTACCTGTCCCTTTATTTATTTGCTGCAGTAGAGGATAACTTGGGGTGTACAGACACCTCATCCTTGCATGTAGCTAACTGTCTCCTTTTTGCAGCAACAGCAGCAACAGCAGCAACAGATACATCTATCTCTTCCTCTCTACAGCAGCAACAGCAACAGCAGCAACAGCAGCAACAATTGCTGCTGCGCTGCACACCAAGGCAGCAACTACTGTCTCTTCTTCTCTCCTCTATTAAGAAGGGACTACAGGGGACAGATCCATTAGCTACTCTTGCTGTTCTTAATGTAAGTACTGTCTCCTTATTTATTTATTTATTTATTTATTTATTTATTTATTTTATTTATTTATTTATTTATTTTATTTATTTATTTATATAAACCCTAAACCCTTACAGGGAGGGGCCCCTATATATACACCCTACTACTCAAGGGGGCCCTTGGAGGGTTAGGGTTAGGATGGGCCCCCCCTGTGTGTTAATAGGTGGGGTTGCTGTGTGTGTCTGTGTGTGTGTGTGCTGCTGCTGCTGCTGCTGCTGCTGCTGCTGCTGCTGCTGGTGCTGGTGCTTGTGCAGTTATTACCGTTATTTGCTTCTGTATATTTGCTGCCTAGTGCAGCAAGAGCAGCAATAAAAGAAATAAGGAAGGAAGGAGTGCTGCTAGCAGCAGGAGACAATGAGCTGTCTCCTGGTCTCCTAGAGGATTTGCTGCTGCAGAAAGGAGACACTTTGCTGCTGCTGCAGAGACAGCAGCAACATAGATTTGCTGTTGACTTTGATACTATTAACAGCAGCAGCAGCAACAGCAGCAGCAACAGCAGCAGCAACAGCAGCAGCAGCAGCAGCAGCAGCAGCAGCAGCAGCAGCAAGGTGTTGGCTAAATGTAGACTAGAGGATGAACTATGGGGTTCTTACTTCGTGCTGCTGAATGCTGACAGCAGCAGCAGCAGCAGCAGCAGCAGCAACAGCAGCAGGAGGAGGACAGTGTCTCCTTGGGCACCGTTTGATTGCGAATCATTAGGAGACAGCAGCAGCAGCAGCAGCAACAGCAACAGCAGCGAGGAGCTGCTGCAGCGCCGTCAACTATTAGAGGAATATCCTTTCTTATTTTTATTATATTGTGCTATAAGACAAGAAGCAAAAAGAAAAGGAGACACTTTTCTTGCTGTCTCCTCTTCTTGGCTACTTACTGATGAAAGAAATACTGCTGGTACCTTATTTGCTGCTGCTGCTGCTGCTGTCGTTGCTGCTGCTGCTGCTGCTGCTGCTGGTGTTGCTGCTGATGATGATATTGCTGCTGCTGTTGCTGTTTGTGTTTAGTGTATAATGTATATGTGGATATTTCTGTATAACCTAATCATCACCAACTGCTCCTGCTGCTGTTGCTGCTGCTGCTGTTGCTGCTGCTGCTGCTGCTGCTGCTGTATACAGAGGCATTGGCTGAGGGTTTCTCTTCTCAATTATTTAGTGACTTTAGGCCTGACTGCAGCAGCAGCAGCAGCAGCAGCAGCAGCGAATTAAAGGCATTCTTCTTAAGGGTATTTAATTTACTTAAGGTAAGATAATATTTTGCTGCTGCTTATTTAGTGTGCTGCTGCTGCTGCTGCTGCTGCTGCTGCTGCACCCAGCAGCAGCAGCAGCCAGATGCAGCAGCTGCATCAGCATCACCATCAGCAGCATCTACACCATCACCAGCAGCAGCACCATCACCATCTACAGCAGCAGCAGCAGCACCAGCACCACCACCAACAGCAGCAGCAGCAGCAGCAGCAGCAGCAGCAAATTGTATATATGTATGTGTCTGCATGCAGCGTCGTAGTGTAGGTGTCCCTCGGCGTTTAGATATATTAGCAGCAAAGTGTCTCTTCTTCTCTCTTCTTATTAATCAACAATTCTTTGAGGCTATGCATGCATTCAATAGACTGCAGCAGCAACTCAGGTACGGACTCTTGCTGCAGCAGCAGCAGCAGCAGCAGCAGCTGGTGGTGGTGGTGCTGCTGCTGCTGCTGGTTGTGTCGTTATTTGCTGCTGACTTCTTTTCTGCTGCTGCTTCTGCTGCTGCATGCATTTAGACCCTACATATACCCCTTTATACAGCATCAGTCTGTGTTGCTGCAGCAACAGCATCAGCAGCAACAGCAACAGCAGCAACAGCAGCAGCAGCAGCAGGAAATGTATATGTTTATGTATATAGGTTATTACCTGATACAAGAGAGGAGATAAGACCTTTTTTTGCTAAAGAAAAAGACAAAAGATTAATTGCTTCCTTATTAGATGCACTTGTATTCCTTATTAAACAAATGCTTGCTAGAGGATATCTAGTAAGTAGCTGCAGCAGCAGCAGCAACAAGTGCAGCAGCAGCAGCAAGTGCAGCAGAAGCAAGTGCAGCAGCAGCAAGGGCTGTAGCAGTAACAGTAATACACAGAGGTTTGCATGATTGTGCTTATAATTGTTTATTATTATTTATAATTATGTTTATTAGGGTTTATGATTTCCTAGGGTTTCCTAGGGTTTAGGGTTTCCTAGGGTTTAGGGTTTAGGGTTTAGGGTTTAGGGTTTAGGGTTTAGGGTTTTTTTTTTTTTTGTGCAGTTGGAGAATTTATTACCATTAGAGAGATTATTAACAATTCAATTTGTTGCTGCAGAGTTGCTGCAGAAAGGAGACAGTCCCTTTATTGAGGGGACTAAGAGTTATTTAACACAATTAGTTATGAGGTATAAACAGTAATATATATAATATAAATAAATAAATAAATAAATAAATAAATAAATAAATAAATATATAAATAAATATATAAATAAATAAATAAATAATTTAATTTAATTAATTAATTAATTAATTAATTAATTAATTATAATTCATTTATTTATTTAATTAATTTAATTAATTAATTAATTAATTAATTAGTTAATTAATAAAAAGAAGAAAAAAGGGGATATTCTAATTTATTCTATTGTTAAGAAAAGGTATAAAAGGAGACAAAAAAGGAGACAAAAAAAACGGAGACAAAAAAGGAGACTATTTATTTATTTTATTTTATTTATTTATTTATTTATTTAAACTATTTATCTTTTTAACTTCTTTTATTAAATTTAATTAATTTAATTAATAGGGACAAAAAGAAAGAGAAAGGGACACAGGCAACATAGGCAATATTAGCTAGCTAGCTAGCTAGCTAGCTAGCTAGCTAGCTAGCTAGCTAGCTAGCTAGCTAGCTATAGGGTATATATACCCTAATATATAGTAAATAGATATAATCAATAGATATAATAAATAAATATAATAAGTAAATAAATAAAGTATATATTATTTATTTATCTATTTATTATGCAAGAGAAGGAAGAAAAAAAATTTTATTTATTTTCTTCTTAGGGGCTGCATGCAGCCCCAAATCCTCTCTTTGGGGCTGCATGCGTTTTGCATGTATTTGCATGCAGCTGCCAGCCCCATAAATATAACAAAAGAAATAATAATATAATTAATTAATTCCTTAAGACGTCTGCATGCAGCCTTTATATGGTCTTCTGTTAGGTTGCTGCTGCTGCTGCTGTTGCTGCTGCTGCTGCTGCTAATAATAATAATAGGAACAGACACAGCAGCAGCAAAAAAGAAGGAAAAAAAAAAATTATTCTCTTGCTGCTGCTCTTATGCAGATACAACCCATTTGCTGCAGTGTACAGACACCTCAACAGCAGCAAGACTGCAGCAAATAAAGGAGACTCCCTCTATCCCTCATCATTATGTGCTAGGGTTTACTAGGGTTAATTAGGGTTTAGGGTTTATTAGGGTTTATTAGGGTTTAGGGTTTAGGGTTAATAGTTGGAGGTTGACCTTTAGGGTAGATAACAGAGATTTACCCCTAAAACTCTAGGGTTTAGGGTTAAGGGTTTAGGGTTAAAGGTTTAGGGTTTATTAAGGATTTATTAGGGTTTAGGATATATTAGGGTTTAGGGTTTATTAGGGTTTATTAGGGTTTAGTCCCTATAGACCTCTCTCTCTCTCTCTTTCTCTCTCTTTCTCTTTTTTTTTTTT